GGTCCGATTGTAGCCTATTGCTCCCTTCTAGAGTGCCCGCATCCCCCCACATCTTAGTGTCATCAGCAAATTTGAACACGGTGCTTTTTACCCCCTCGTCCAAGTCGCTGATGAAGATGTTGAACACTTAAGTGCCTTCAGGTCAATTAGCGTTGAAATGGTGTGCTCCTTGGTTGTGACTTCATTAAAACTTTTTTTTTCCAGTTGCCTGTTAGTACTGATGCTTCCAGGGCAGATTCTCCTGCTTGTGGGGATGTTGTTCTGCCATCTTCTGTTTGTCACTACAATATTCATAATTGCCTTTGAATTCCGTTATTACGAAGCAGGTGCCCTCTTCAGAAAATCTAACCATCATTACCTTGTCTTAACTTCGACATATGAGGTTATTGCTTCTGCCTTTCACTTTAACTGACCTCAAATCAACTTGTCCTATCAGAATTTTATTGCTAGAAGCTTTTGTTTCAATTTTCCATTTTTGGTAGTATCAGAGGTTTTTTTGTGAAGCGCTAAGGTTGCATGATTATGAATTAGTTGAGTGACAGCTAACTTAATTGTGGAAATGTCTGACCATCCCATCTTTCAGGCTTGTACTAGCTTGGCTGAAATACACTGAAGGAATCGCCAGTTTGCTGGTACTCCCCTAGACTTCCACAGAAAAGGAGCTCCAGCCCCCAAATTAAATTGTGTGCTTATCAGCTGATCTAGGCTTTACAATACAGTCTTGACCAGATAATTACTAACTGCTACTCTGGAGAGGTTTATATATTTTTAAAGTTAAAGTTACCAGTTACCTCTGGAGCATCAAAAGCAACTGTGACCCTAGCACATTTAACTCCAAAACAGAACCTGCTGGATGTTAAGCTTCAGACAACTGGGATTAAAGTGTCATTTGGGCAAGCAGAATTCTGCAGTCCCATCAGCTGATGCTGCTGGGCAGTGCTCCTGGTCTTTGTTCTTCAAATGCAGATTGTTTAGAAGATGATTGCCTATTAAATATTTGTGTGTGATGACTTCACCCATCCTATTTTTGTTGTGTGCTTTGTGCAGGTACTTTGATGGCAACTTGGAGAAGCTTTTTGCTGAGTGTCATGTAATTAATCCAAGTAAAAAGTCTAGAACGCGCCAGATGAATACAAGGTCATCAGCCCAGGACATGCCTTGTCAGATCTGCTATCTGAACTACCCAAACTCGGTGAGTATGGTAGCCCCGTGCACAAGGCTTTTGTTTCTCATTCACAAAGTCTCTGCTTCTTAGTAAGACTCTAATTGTATGTTTTTAGAGCAGACACTTTGCTTGCAATGTTTAGCCTCTTAAACCTTGTATAAGGCCTTAAGAATGAAGACTTGTACTCTGTAGGCCTTAAAATTGTCTTTTAAAAGGAATAGGAGAGTGAGGGTTAGGATTGAAACTTATAATCCGCAAAATGATCTAGGAAAAAACACTTCCCATCTTCAAATGTAAAGTGAACTTTCATGTTTAATTTTCCAGACGTGCTTGGCCTTCTGTTTGTGTATACCATGTTACAACTCGGTTATATGAAATTTCATACCATTCCCCTTAAATCTTTTGTTTAAACATGGTGTTTGGTACAGCAGACATTCAGAAAGTTAGATTTTGAAAAGTACATTTTTAAAACAAAAATTTTCACTTGTTTCATAGTTAGTAGGTTTGGAAGGGACCTGAGCAGATCATCGAGTCCAACCCCCCTGCCATGGCAGGAAAGAGTACTGGGGTCAAACAACCCCAGCAAGGTGATTGTCTAGCCTTGTCTTAAAGACCCCCAGGGTAGGAGCCAGCACCACTTGCTTGGAAGTTGGTTCCAGATCCTAGCTGCCCTGACAGTGAAGTAGCGCCTCCTAATGTCTAATCTGAATTGACCCTCTGCTAGCTTGTGACTGTTATTTCTAGTCGCTCCTGGCAGTGCTCGGGGGGACAGGGAGCAATGCCTGCTGGTCCCCTCTGACTAGTTTGTAACAGGCCACTAGATCCCCCCTCAGCTTTCTTGTGGAGGCTGAACAGGTTCAGGTCCCGTAGCCTCTCCTCGTAGGGCCTGCCCTTCTGCCCCCTGATCAAGCGAGTGGCTCGCCTCTGGACCCTCTCCATGTTGTCCACACCCTTTCTGAAGTGCAGCGCCCAGAACTGGACGCAGTACTCCAGCTGCGGCTTGACCAGTGTCGCATAGAGGGGCAGGATCACATCCTTGGACCTGCTCGAGATGCATCTGTGGATGCACAATAAGGTGTGGTTGGCCTTCCTGACTGCATGCCCACACTGCCGGCCCATGTTCATCTTGGCATCAGTGATGACTCCAAGATCCTTTTCTGCCTCTGCACTTGTTATTTATAGTGAAAGCAGACTAACTAGAAATAACCTTCAGAGTTTAGGATCTTATACACGAGCAGAAGGTTGGAACACGGGGATTGGCGACACTGCAGACAAGGGAAATCTGCAGGTTTTGTTTGGTTTTTTTTTTTAAGTGAAAACTTTTCTTGCTTCAAGTTTGACAAATAGGATGATGTTGGTGGGGGAGGCAGGATCAAGAGAATCGAAGATGCTGAAATTCTTCTATATTGGCCAGTCTGACTAGGTCTTCCCTGCTAGTAGATTGACACAAGGGGCTGCTATTTTTAGTTTAATATTTAATGTTTGCACCATAATTTCCATTCCACCAGCACTGATTTGTATGTGTGTCAAGAAGTAAAGATGGGCACAGGTTTGTTTTAACCTTCTGGAGTCTTAAGAATGGTAGTTCTAATTGTTCAGGCAGATATAGCAGAAACATAGCACATTTACTGTAGTCAATTTATGATACTTGTAGTAACCACATTTTGAGCAAAGATTTAGGATAATCTCAGATTTGTGGCGGGATATTTGAGTAATGAAGTAAAGGTGTTAAGTAACAAAAGTGGGCAGGGGGATTGTATTCAAAACCATGTTAATATGTCCAGAGCTAAGCTTATTTCAAATGTACTGACTGTTTACTATATTTGTGGAGCTCTGAGCATGGTATGCATTAAGTGGTGTGAAGTTGTGGCAGCAGTGCAGTTAAGTCATTCAGGTTAAAGTGAGCATTAGATCAAATTTATGTTTAAAAAGGTCACATCCATGTGAAACACAAAGGAAAAAAAATGAAAAAAGGGAGAAACTAAGGAACATAACAAACTAGGGCCAGATAGGAGGCTCTTTATAATGAGCAAAGAGCAGCCCAAAACTGGCCTATGGAAAGTAAAATTGGATTTTAGCAAAGTCCTAGATATGCTCTTTGCTCTGTTGTGGAAATGTCTTTTCCTGGAAAATGGCTTAGAGCAGGGGTTGGTAAACTTTTAGGAGCAGCCAGCCAAGATAATGCAACTTGGTCTGAAAGTGGGCCATTGTTTGCAACCTGGCTACTGGCAACACTTCCTCTGCTAATGCATATGGAACCCAGCTGCTGCTGAATGTTTCTTAGGCTAGGGACAGACATTCAAAAAGCCTGAGCCTGAATTGATTCAATCTTTGCAGGTTAGTCTAACCTGGCTAGGCTAAATTAGTTTTGTAACCAGACAGACTTCCCAGAAATGCAGGCACATGCTTACAGTGGCTGAGGATACAAGCTGGGGTGTCAAGGGTGCAAACTGGGGTGATAGCCCTGCTCCCTGTGTTTTGGGGGGCCCTGCAGAGCCGGGTGGAGCAGTGGCTCTGCTTCCAGCCACTTACTACATGCCCCACCCCCACCGACATTGCTGTTGTCAATGGCAGCGGCAGCTTCTTTGGGGCTGGGATTAGAGTGGGGCAGGGCCTCGCCTGGGCTGATTTGCCCTGGGCCCTGCACCCTGCTCAGGTCGCTTCTGCTGGCTACAGTCTGTGCTGTGGGAAAGAGGAGGAAGGGATCTCTGCTTAAGCAGCAAGTGGTGGGAGGGGAGGGGGGCATGGGGAAGCCAGGAGACCCTGGTGTGCCTGCAAGTCTCCGCTGGAGCTCCAGCCAGGGAGCAGAGGGGAGAGACCAGCCCTGCTGGGGAGCAGAGAACTCCGCCCAGCCCAGAGAGCAAGCTGGGAGAGTCTGATTTAACTTAAACCACCAAGGGATTTGGGACAGACATTGCAATAACCAGTTTGAACCATATCATGTAAGCCTGATACTACATTCAACCAGGTTTATCTTAAACCAGCTTCAGCCATTTTCAAACTGGTTTATGTGCACTGAATATCTGTTCTGTTGCAAGTTTAAATCAATTTCTGATCAGTTAAACTGGTTTATGTGTGATGTCCACCCCTAGCCTTATTGTTCACAGCCCTTCTTCCCTCTCTCCACCCCCTCCAAATTGTTGCTGCCACCCTAGATTCTGGGGTGGATAACATCGCTTAGCAGGCTGCATCTGGCCTATGGGCCATACATTGCTGATCCCTGGCTTAGGTCCTACACTCATTCATCCTCCTGAAGTGGTTGGCCAGCCTGCTTCGTTTTGCAAAAGTTCAGAGATGTAGGCTAATTGTGTTCTGGTGGCTTCAGGAACGCCAGCTGAGACCTAGGCCCCCCTTCTGAGCATTATACAGACAAGTAACATGATGTTCCTCTGGAATTATTACATGGGTATAAAACAAAAAGGAAGTAGGAAGATGAAACTATTTCAGAAAAATAGAAGTCTCTTTTGACCATGGCTTTGCTAGCAGCTAACATGCCTAAATTTGCCAGAAACTTGTTGTTTTTCCCCCTTATTTCTTTTTTCCTGAATTCACAATCACGTAAATTGTTCTAATCATCCCAAAACTGTGACGTGTGTGTGTGTGTGTGTGTGTGTGTAAACTACTTACATAAGCTTCCATTCTTACCTTGGCTGTGTTTTATTAGCCTACCTTTCAGGTTTCCATTGTGCACTTTGGGTCTAGGAGTGTCCTTGACTAAAGTACTATTTTGCTGACTAGCTGTGGAGGCAAGACTCCCTTCCCTGGAATGAGCAGCACAAGACCTTATGTGGCAGGGTGATCGAAGTCGGTGGTTCTTAACCTTTTTTTGTATCCGGATCTATTTTTAAACATAGATTGCTAGTCCTGACCCGCTGCCCCCACCCCCAGGCCCAAGCCCCATAGCATGTGGTGCCAAGGGGTGCTTGTGTGTGGGCCATAGGGGGTCCCAAGCAGCCCCTTGCATGCTGGAACTCTGCCAGCCTGCTAGGGAAAAGCCACCATTTCCCACATTTTTCTCTTTTTAAAGGAGAATCCATTTTAAAAGTTTGTTGATCTATTTTTAAAGTTAGTTCATGACCCTTTCATACATTCTTGCAACCCACTTCTGGGCCATGACCTACAGGTTGAGAAACATTGATCTAAGGGCAGATCTTTATCAGCTGAGATTCTCAATTTTGTGCTGGAAACATTTCGTAGGCATTGGCCAGTAACCAAGAAAACTTTTGTCCTCAGAAATGCAAAGAAGTGGTTCAACAAAGACAGACTTCTCCCCCCTCCCAATTCCCCTCTCCTTCAGCACTCCCATGTCCCCTTTAAAGATGATATGCAAAAAGGAAATTGTCGTGTTGGTTGCTTTGCATGAAGGGGGTGAGGAAGAGCCTTCAACCTTGTGTTTTTTGTTAGAGATTTTTGGACGACGTCTGATAACCAGGGATCCTAGTTCTTCCTGACAAAAAAGTTTGCAAATTCTCTGGTTAAAAACCCCAAAATCCGTGATTAAAATGAAAGCCCCCCCCACAGCCCTCTGGCCCTGCTGGTGCCCTTCACTTCCTGCCTCACAACTCCCCCAGCCCTGCTGGGGCCCCTAGCTACCATGGGATCATGGACCTGGGTCTGAAGCCCCTGCCTCTGGCAGGAGTGGGCAGCTGCTGCAGTGGAGTGGAGCCTGTCATCTCCTCTTTTTCTGCCCCCTCACCTCCGCAAGATCTGTGTGGAGCAGGGGTTGTGTGCTGCCTGCTGCGGGCTCCTGCCCTACCCGATGTGTGAGACCCAGGGCTGCAAAGAACAACGGGGGCTGTGCAGGAAAGCTCCTTGCCACTGCAAGCTCCACACTGCCCTGGCAACATGTCCCCTGCACGTGGCTGCAGTGGGGGCGGTGGTGCTGGGTTGCATACAAGGGACATGTTGCCAGGGCAGTGTGGAGCTCACAGCAGCAAGCAACTTTCCTGCATGGCCCCACTCTTGTCTGCAGCACCAGGTCACACCTGCCAGGCTGCAGAGCCCTGGGGGAGGGCAGCAGGGCAGGAGCTGAAGCCCATAGTGGGCAGCTCATGCCCTGTGCACAGATCTGGGGGCACTGGTTCCCCCCTGGGCCCCCAGGAGTGCACGCAGCAGCAGTGAGCTTCCCCCAGACGAGCTGTCTGTGGCCCTGTCCCGTTCCCTGCTGGGGTCCTGCGGCCATGCACTGCAGCCAGGCATTGCCTGGCTGGGCTGCGGCCCCAAGCCCTAGGCATTGCCCTGCCCTACCCAACTCCTCCCCTCCCTTCCGATGGGGGCCTCAGTCCCACCCCATGACTTACCTGCGGGAGCTGCTCTCCAGGCTGCCTGGAGGTCATGTGCCTATACATGCACATGGTGCCCCCTGCATGGGGGCTGCCCTCCTGCTCCCTGCGGGTTTCTTCAGTAAAATGAGAAATCAGCGTTAGCCTCTGGTAAAAGGTAAAATCCATGGTTTTCTCCATTTTCCTGTGGGAAATTGGAAACCCTGGATCTCTGCTGATAACTCAAACTGGTGGGATGTTGGCACTGTGGGTACTGAGGTAGTGAAACTGTTCAGTCAGATGTGAGGGACAGGGAACTGTTCCATTTTGATTCCAAAAGTCTCCTAGCAAACCTAGAGATAAGCAGGCTTGCCATTAGTAATACAAAGTTTAAAGCAGAGAAACCACCTTCTTTAATCTGATGCCTTTTATCCATCAAAAGGCAACAGAAAGGGCACTAGTCCAGCTTTTTTCCCTCTAACAGATCACCATAACTCTCAGAACATAGGATAAATACTCTTTTTCTGTGTTCTATGTCAAGGAACTGGACTATAGTAAATTCATCTGCAGGCCCCATCCCAAGTAGCTCTTTACATCTATTACATCCATTCCTACTATCTCTGTGTACCTTCCCCATTATCATGGTACCTTCCATATTTCTTCCTCCACATCCTTTTTATACACATCTTATGTCTGTGGATAATAATATTTTTACATAAACATACCCTGTATTGAATTTGGACTGTCCTGACTGAGTACACCACGCTGATAGCAGATAAAGCTGGAGAAGCTCTAGGTAGAGAGTGAAGGCATTAGGGTATTACTTTTGCACCCTGGGGTTTGATTTCTCTCCCCCCTCCCAAAAAGAAAACCCAACAAAAATGGTTTTGATTTGTTTGCCAGTTTCTTTGATGTCTTCCAGAATTCTTCATAATGTTACAGTTTAGAAATAAAGCATCTCTACCAGGAAAATAAACTATCTCAATACATTTCTGTCAAGGAGGGGCTTGACTTCAACTTTTCAGCTTTTACTGAATCATTCATGATCGGTGATTAAAATAGGACCCTAGATTATAATGCTGTTTGTTTATAGCACTACGCGAGCACTGGTGTGTTCAGTTTTTAGGTAGGGAGGTTGAAGAGTTTTACATACAGCAAGCTCAGCAGAACTGGGATTGCCTTTGAACTGACTAATATAACGGACTTGCTTTTGGAATAGAGTTCTCATAGCTTATAGTGGAAGGAGAGAGAGGGCATTAATCACATGTTTTTGGAGATACCATAGTAATACTGTAGAGATTTTCACATATCTTTACAGATGCCAAAGATGCCTTTAAATGAAATTACTGTGCTGTGAACAAACCTTTAATTCATGACTAACATCCCATTGTTGGAACAGCATAATGTCCGGCATGTCTGTACCTTCCCCAGGCTTCAGACACAGTTTAGTCCTGCCCATAGTTCTCACTTATACACCACCTTCATTTCAAAGTTATTCTTCTCTAGCTGTCTTATTGTTTCCCTGTCCCTCACATAAGTGTTCAGTCAGATGTCTTGGCACACTGCAGAGGATGATGCGTACAAAGCTGATGTCATCCTTGCCAGGTGGCTCTCTGCATGACAATCAGCTAATCAGTTGTATAAAATCTTGGTTGGGTACTGCTTCAGCCAGTTAGGCTGTTCAGTCTTGCCATCAGATAGACATTTGGGTTCTAGAGCAAGTCATATTGCTTGGTAAGCTGTAAGCACAAAGGTGCCTCCAACTCATGTTCTAAACTCTTATGACTTATTAAATGCATAATGCCTACTACTTGCTCTGTTTGTTAGCTGCTTTCACCTGCATGGGCAATATTTTAGGTGCCTCTTGCCAACGTGGTTGGTAATTATTCTGGAGCTGAACAGTTACGTGAGAGATGCAAATGCAGGAAAAATCCTGTGGGTATCATTTTACTGCTTTAACCTTCATTCCAAGATGCAGCATTTGTTAGCAACTTCCTGTAATACAGGTAGGGGAAAGCAATTATCCTTTCTTTTAGACTCATGCATCTGCCATAATTTAAAGGTAGTGGGGGTGGGAGGAGAAAATCCTCTCTCTACATTCTTGCTGCTGTTAGCGATGCAGAGTGCAGCTACACAGAGTGCACATTTAGAGCTGCTATAGCAACATACTGAGGTGGTGGCAATGCAAAGGAAACAATGCAGTATCCTTGGAGCAGTTACAAATTCTGTCCTGGGAGTAAGTAAGGTGAAATTAAACTTCACAGCAGCAGGAAGGACAGAATGGGTACAATGTCATGTGCTTTTTGTCTTTGCAGTACTTCACTGGCCTAGAGTGTGGACATAAGTTCTGTATGCAGTGCTGGAGTGAATATTTAACTACCAAAATAATGGAGGAAGGCATGGGACAGGTAAGGATTTATCTCTGTGTGCCTTATGCTGGGGAAGGTGGGTGGAGAGAAGCGTAACTTTTTTGCATAAACTGAAAGAATAATACTGCGGAAGACAAGTTCTTTACAGACCTGTTGAAGTGTCTAATGGTGCTTTGTGGGACCAAAACATTCGGTGCTAAAGAGCATTTTGCTAGCGTGTCTGGATGAAACATCCTGAGTTCTAGTTTTGCTGTGCAAAGTCTTCTGCTTGCAATAAATTCTGGCCTTGGAGTTCTTGCTTCAAGGAAATGGGCATGAAAACTGTTTCAAGGCTTTATTGGACCCCTCTCTTCTCTTTCAGACTATTTCATGCCCAGCTCATGGCTGTGATATCTTAGTTGATGACAACACAGTTATGTAAGTACACAGTTGATGGGTAACCTTTCTTTGTTTCTTCGTTTTGTCCCTTAAACACTATGTATGATCTGCCTAAGTCAAAGCCTATTTTAAAATTTCAAGGTGTCAAGAGATTGTTAAGGTCCCTGCTTGGTGTTTGTGTGTGCATACTCTTAGCTGTGGAATCCTACTTCAGTTATTGAGAGAACAGGATTTCTGACCTATTTGGGAAACCTAAAAAATAAACACCATGCACTCATCTAAAATCCCATTCAATTACTCTCTTGCGATTAGGAAGTCCTATATTCCTAAGGTAGGTCAGCACACTGGTTCATCAAGTTCTGTATTCTGCCTTGGGCAGCGAATTCCTGATGCTTCAGAGGAAGAGAGAAAACTGCCATAGTGCATTTAGCCAATTATGCAGAGTTATGCCTACCAGATGATGTGGGAGGTACATTCCTAGCCCCTTTGGGGAAAAAAAAAAATCACACCCTGAGTCATGAGATTTGATTTAACTGTCTGCATGAGTCTCTTGCTCTAAGTGGTGTTGCTCAAACAATTATTAAGCTATATTGGGTGGCTGTCATGCAGCACAAACTTCTCTGGGCTTCCCTTTCTTTGCAAGGCTTGGCATTTGCAAGGCATTACACGAGCAATGTGCTTTATAATTAGGGATTTACTTTATTCGCGATTTTACGTTTTTCGTGAAAAATGCAAGGGGGAAATGTGGTTTCTGTGGACCCGACAAAAATGGCAGTCTCCACAATTTTGGTGTAAAATCGCTGGGGGTGGGAGTGCAGACACTTACTAAAAGTATGCTATCTCCCCAGTGAGAACTAGCAGTCCTCAGGGCTGCTGCAGGCTGGCTTCACAGCCTGCCAGCGTGGGGGAGCCACTGACTTGAAGAGGAGCAGCAAAGGTGGTGGGCCCCCCCTTTACTGCTCACTGGCCAAGAGGACTGCCTGTTGTGCAGCCTCACCCCTCTCCTAATCGGCAGTGGGGGCTGGGGCTCCATGATGGGCAGCCTTCTTGGCCAATCAGCAGTGAGGGGTGGGGCTGCTGGGGCCCTCTGGCCAATCAGTAGTGAGGGCAGGACCACTGGAAAAATGGCGCTGCTTACAGCCCACAATTTTTACTTTGGTTCAGCAGGAATTCAGTAGATCCCTATTTATAATCTTAAACCCAGTCTATTCCTACTCTTCATGCTAAATAGTATTTAAATCTAAGCCACCTTCTGCCTGGAGCCATTTGCTGGCATTCGTTTATTGTCTGGTCTTCATTTGTTGTCTTGCATCGGTTCCTTGCAAGGTAGCAAATTGCCATGTCACTCTGCATGGAGACATTACTGAGTTGGGTATAAAATGGGAAGGAAACTTGAGTATATGTAGAAAGTTACTGCTTATGTGCCTCTAGATCCTACCAGGATTGGGAAGAAAATGAAGGGGAACCTGAAGTGCAAAATGAGAGCAACTTGCTTGTTTGTTAAATGACACTTACATATTTTAGTCCCTGCCTGGTACTTTAGATGTAATCTTTTATCAGAATCCTTTTTTTGTGGGGGGAATCCTAATTTACTCAGTATAACAGTTTCAGCAAGGACTTCACTCATACCAACTGATCAGATGCCATTTTAGTCATACTGTGCCACATTCATAGATTCATAGATGCTAGGGTCAGGAGGGACCTCAACAGATCGAGTCCAACCCTCTGCCTAGGCAGGGAAGAGTGCTGGGGTCAGATGACCCCAGCCAGATGCCTCTCCAGCCTTTTCTTAAAGACCCCAAGGTAGGGGAGAGCACCACCTCCCTTGGAAGCCCATTCCATATTTTGGCCACCCTTACCATGAAGTTTTTTCCTGATATCTAGCCTAAATCTGCTGTATGTCAGTCTGTGACCACTGTTCTTTATTACCCCATGAGGCGCCCCGGTGGACAGAGCATCTCCAATCCCTTGCTGTGTCCCCCTAACGAATTTGTAGGTGGCCACAAGATCACCTCTTAGCCTTCTCTTGCAGAGGCTGAAGAGATCCAGGTCCCTCAGTCTCTCCCCATAGGGGTTGTCCAGTAAGCCCCTAACCATACAAGTGGCCTTCCTCTGGACCCCCTCGAGTCTATCAACATCCTTCTTGAAGTATGGCCCTCAAAACTGGATGCAGTACTCCAACTGTAGTCTGACCAGTGCTGCATAGAGGGGAAGTATCACCTCCTTGGTTCTATTTGTCATGCATCTGCTGATGCATGATACAGTGCAGTTAGCTTTACTGATGATTTCTTCACACTGGTGACTCATGTCCATCTTGGAATCCACTATGACTCCAAGACCCTGAGAGGGTCACTTCCCAGGCAGGTGGTGTGCTGGATATTTTTGTGCCCTAGGTGCAGCACTCTGCTTTTTTTTCCTTGTTGTACTGTATCCTGTTGTGTACTGCCCACTTCTAACCTGTCCAGGTCTGCTTGCAATCTGCTTGCAATCGTTCCTTACCCTCCGGAGTGTGCGCGTCACCCCACAATTTAGTATCATCTGCAAACTTGGATAGAGTACGCTTCACAGCCACATCAAGTCACTGATGAAAATATTGAAGAGCACAGGTCCAAGGACCGAACCCTGCAGGACCCCAGTACCCACATCCTTCCAGGTTGATACTGACCCATCTACTACCACTCTCTGGGTGTGACCACTAAGCCAATTTGCCACCCACTAGACCATGTAAACATTTATGTCATAGCCTCTTAATTTATTTATGAGAATAGGATGAGATGCTGTATTGAAGGCCTTGCTGAAGTCCAAGAAAACGACATCCACCTCTACTCCTGCATCTAAGCATTTTGTGACCGTGTCACAAAACAAAACCAGATTGGTCAGGCATGATCTACCTGCTACAAATCCATGCTGGTTTCCCTGCTGCATTATTTTTCCCACTGGACTGCCACAAATACGATCCTTCATAATTTTTTCAAAGACCTTTCCAAGGATGGAAGTGAGACTGACTGGCCTATAATTACTCAGATCCTCCCTCCTCCGCTTCTTGAAAATAGGGACCACATTGGCCATTTTCCAGTCCTCCGGGACCTGACCCAAACACCACAAGCACTCAAACAGCTGTGCCAGTGGTTCTGGTATGACACCGGCCAATTCCTTCAGTACCCTTGGATGCAGCTCATCTGGGCCTGCTGACTTGAACACATTCAGTACACCCAAGTGACTCTGCACCAAGTCAGCGTTGACAGTTGTTAGGCTTATGTGCCTCTGATGCCCATCTAAGAACCCATTAGACGATTTACCTTGAACCCTGTTAACAAACACCGAGGCAAAAAACTCATTGAATAGCTCAGCCTTGTCCCCCCTCTCTGTCACTGATTGCTCCTTCTTGTTCAGTAGGGGTCCTATGCTGCCCTGCACTTTCCTTTTACTCCCTACATACCTAAGAAAAGACTTTTTGTTGTCTTTAATTTGTGTTGCCAGCCTCAGCTCATTAGTTGCTTTGGCCTTTCTAACTGCCTTCCTGCAAGTGCGGGCCAAGTAGGTATACTCCTCCTTGGTAGCTTCCCCCTGCTTCCACTGCCCATATGCCTTCTTTTTTGTTCTTAGGCTCCCCTGGATTTCCCTCTATAACCAAGGAAGTTTTTTGTCTCCTTTCCCCCTTTCCCTTGTTACTGGGATAGTCTCCCGCTGTGCCTTAATGATTGCTTCCTTTAGGAATGACCACCCTTCCTGGATTCCCATCTCGCCAATATTCCTGTCCTGCAGTGCATCATTGACTACACTCCTGAGCACACTGAAGTTAGCCTTCCTAAAGTCAAGCACTTCCACCCTACTAGTTACCTTACCCACCCTACGCTGTATGGTGAATTCATTTGATTGGTGATCAATGTCCCCAAGGTGACCACAAATCTGCAGCTCCCCTACCAGGTCTTCCCCCGTAGCCAGCACCACGTCCAGTAAGGCATTCCCCCTAGTGGGACCATATACCTCCTGCATTCGGTGAAGGTCCTGCACACAGGTTAAGAACCTACATGAACAGTTGGATTTGGCTGACTGCAGATGTCAGGGTAGTTTAGGTCCCCCATGACAACCACATCCCTAAACTGTACGGCCTCTGAGAGCTGTCTCAAGAATTCCAAGTCTAGCTTCTCCTCCTGGTGTGGTGAACTGTAGCAGACCCCCCACCACAAAGTCCCTTTGCCCATGGCCTCCATGTATCCTAACCCATAATGCCTCAACTTTCTCCTCCTCTGATCCCATTTTGACTAGGGTAGATTTATAATGCTCCTTTACATAGAGAGCAACCCCACCCCCTTTCCTCCCTACTCTGTCCCTTCTGTACAGCCTGTTAGCCCTCAGTGTGTACCACCCAGTCATGGGTCGAGTCCCACCAGGTTTCCGTTAGCCCCACTAAATCAAAGTTATTATTTGCAAGCAGAAGTGCGAGTTCTTCCTGCTTGCTCCCCATGCTTCTAGCATTAGTATAGAGGCACTTGAGTCCTCCAGATGGTGCCTTTGGTGCCCGCCCCCCCCATTCTGATGCCCAAAGGGCCCCTTAGTACTTAACTGGGTGTACTGCTGCATGTCTCGCAGTTTGTAGGTTCTAGACTCTCTACATCTCCTGCCTCC